CTTCAGGGCGTAGAACACGATGATGAGGACGATGGCCACGGCCATGATGAAGATGGTGGACATGGCGATCACGAGGGCGGTGGCCAGGTGTCCTTGGCCCGAGAGCTCTGCTGGCGCGAGGGGAGCGCGTGAGCACCCCGGGCCTCCTGCCGTGCCCCCTCGTGGCGGCCCCCACCCCCAGGTGCCCCTCACCTTTGTGGGCATGCTGGGAGGGGGGCCGGGTGCTGCCCCCAGAGGTGCGGGGAGAGTTGGCAGCGGCCCCCGAGGAGACGCCTGCGCCTGCCGGGAGAACAGCGGGCTCAGGTGAGCGAGCGGACGCGCCCACGCGGGCAGGCTGAGGCGTGCGCTGCGGGAAACTCGGAGGACTTCGCGGTCCCTGCAGAGCATTCTGATCTCGTTAAACCGAGATGAGGAGGGAGGGACGGGCTGGGGACCTGGGCAACACTGCTGAAGTCGGGTTTACAGGTCGCCAGCTGGGCTTCCCGGCCACACACCCAGAGGAGGAGAACTGGTCTGCGAAAGGGTTCCTGGGATGGAACAGTGCTCAGCTGACGTTTCAAATGCAAAGAGCACGATGCCTTGTCTGCCCGTAAACCTCGCGTTATTAAGTCTGCAGGAAGTAGGAACGCGGAGGTGTGAGCCTGCCCGAGACTTCGCTGTCTCTTGGACTTCGGAGTGTTTGTTTCTAAATTAGCCGAGACCAAGCCATCCAGGGACGGGGTGGGCCAGGCATCCACTGTCATCTCTCTCATGAAGTCCCTCATGGAAAAGGCCTCTTAGGAAGGAGAAAGCAGGCAGAACTCTGCCATCTCATAAATCCTCAAGGAGGGCGGGCTAAACAGCTCAGTGGATTACAGCGGCTGCAAGCAGGCACAGGGGCCAGGGGTTCAATCCGCCCTTGTGGTGCACTGAGATGGCAATTGAGACTGGGCGTGGTAGTGCACACCTGTAATCCCAGCTCTTGGGAAGCTGTAAACAGGAGCATCACTATGAGTCCTATCTAGTAGTGAGACTCTGAACATCCTATAGACCCTTCCCTAAAATACAAAATATAATAATAATAATAATAATAATAATAATAATAAGTAAAATAGATCCCCAAGGAACAAGAAAGATGAGTGGATGGCAGCCTTCCTTCTGGGCTGAATACACACAGCCATGCTGGGTGCAGTGTGTGGGAAGCTCAAGGCCCTCTGGTCCAGCCTCTCCTCTTTCTCTTTCCTCTGTGCCCCTTCTGGAGCTTAGCATGAGCTCAGCTTGCATTTCTAAAAGGCAGCTCAGGGTCCTGGATGCCCCAGCCCACACTGCGCGGCCAGCAGGGCCAACACCAGGTGCCTGAGAAAGGAGCTGCCGCAACTGCTGTCTTCAGGAGTAGAACTGGGCAGTGCAGGCCTGCGCCTGGCTGCAGGAGGCTCTGGAGCAGGGACAGCCAGCTGGGGTGGAAGTCATGGAATGACCCCTGCCTGCACCCTCCACGTGGTGAATGCCACAAGCCACCTGTCAGCCACCCCACTCCCTCATCTCAGAGACAGGTGAGAAACACAGTGTGGCTGAGATGCCAGTAAGGATGTGAGAAACGCCTCCTGCTCACTGCAGACCCAGGGTAACCGGAAGCACCTCCTGCCTCAGCAAGCTCTGCTTTTCCAGTTCAGTCTCCAGGTCCGGCTGGCCCAGCAGTGTAGCCACTGAGGTCCTGCCCTTATGCTTTCCTGGGTTACACTGGGAGCCACATTGATCAGACCCAATTCAAGTAGAGCCTGATTTCCTGTTCTAGAGCCAACAGTGCATTGAAAGGAAGCGGACTGTCTGGAAGGGGCTCAGACATGCTGTGAGAAGTGTATGCCATGGCTGTAGACCTTTGTCATTTTTACCCCTTGCTGCCAGGCCTTATAGCAGGGTGGGTGACTGCAATGAAGACTGTGGTCCTGAGAGGCTGCTACACAGTGACATCCCAGAGGCGCGTGCAGCCACTGCTCGTCAGGGACACCATCCCTCGAAGCGTGGCCATCGGCACTGCCTGCCTTGCCCAGGGCTCCAGTGTTGCCCCTCTACAGCCCGGCCCCACAGGCACTTCCTGCCCAGAGGGATGCTGTTGCTGGGTCAGCCCAGCGGAAGGTGGGCACTGTGGGCAGGAGGGGAGGCCAGCTCTGCCGGACTGCAGCCGAGTACTGAGCCACCCTACAGAACGATCCTTTCCCTTTCATGTGCATTCCCTTCCTGCAGCCTTTGGCCCCAAGGCTCTCCTTCCAAGGGAAGGAGATGCCCTCCAGAGCCCCGAGTAGGTCAGAAGGATGTGTGGGTGCAGCCACGTCCACGCCTACCGGAGTCATGCCGGGCACAGCCACTCTTAAGTGCAGTGTGCACTTTATGTGGTCAGTTCTGCCCCTAACTCGGTGTCCTCTGCCCCCCAAGTATAAGAGAATGGGTGGGAAGAACAGAGGGGCTGCTGTGGCTGGCTCCCTTCCTGGTCACCAGCAGCCCCAAAACCACCTCTTTCCTAGTGCGTGGCACTCACATTCCTTGGTGTTGGGGGGTGCCAGGAGGCAGGAGTAGCAGACCATGCCATAGATGTTCCTGGGTCTGTTTTCCAACATGTAGTAGCTGCGGGGACAAGAAAGCAGAGGGTGAGTGGCCATAGTGGCACCTGGTGGGACTTAGATCCAGGCTTCGGGCAGCCTGGTAGGTCACACCCCTCTGGCAGCCCCAGGCCAGGTTTCCACAGGGTTCTATCCTGAGCGGCTTCCTTTTTCCATTCTTAGTTCTCTCCTCCAGCCTGGTCACCCCCACCACCTTTTGATGCTGGCCCTGAGGGACCTATTAGTGTGTGTCGCTGTCTTCCTGGGCATCACCCCCAGAATATCTGCGTGCAGCCACCTGTGAGGCTTCATCCTCAAGCTGTTGGTGAGCACAGCCGAAAGGCAGCCAGTGGCTCAGGCATGCAGGCCCCTGTGGGACTGTCCTCTGCAATTCTTCTGGCCCCCCACAAACAAGCCACACAACGACAGGTCAATTAAATGTAAAGAGCTGGGCTTGCTGCCTTCCCTGGTGCCAGTGCGGGGGCGAGGCTCCCTGCACGTGAACTCTATGGCTGCTTTCTACTGTGTCCTTAGTTGTGCACCTTGAGCCCTGCAGATGTCAGCAGGGACTCTGAGGGGGTCTAGGCTCCAGGTAGAGCCAGGCTGGGGGAGCAGGCACCTACGTAGGCACCTATGTAGTCTGCAGGCGGCAGGTTCAGCCTCCTGTCTGCACGCTGGGGAGTTGGGCACCTCCTCTTGTCCTGTCCCACACGGGAAAGTGAGCCTTCATTGTTCAGCTCTTCCTCAGCCACAGGACTCAGCACAGCCGCATAGAGGCAGAGACTTGGCAGCCGGCCTGCCACACCACTGGGTCAGAAGACACTGGATCGCAGCAGTGTGGTGACCGCAGGGGTCTGGGATGAAAACGGCCTTTCGTAGGGCTTGGTTCTCTCCTCCAGTGCTAAAACGCCCTGTCATCCTCCCCTGAGAGACAGTCTTCAGGTGCCGCCCATGGGGCCTGACGCTCACTGTGGGATGGGAGGGGTTGATTTAAACAGAAAGTCCATGGAAGGCCTGTGCGGATCTGGCAGAGCTGTGGCCATGGCTTTGGAGAAGCACAGTGACACCACATCCCTTTGGCGTGGGTTGGAGGCATGCTCTGTCCTGGGGCAGAAGGTGAGGCCCAGCCAGCTGCTGTACCAGGAGACAGAGTAACAGCTGGAGGAGCCTACCGATGACCGTCCTCTTGGCCTGGGTCCTTTGAGACAGCTTCCATCGGCCTACCTGGCCCTCGCCTATTTGCAGCATCAGGGATAGCCAGGCCCAGGCCTGTGAGCTGGGCTCAGTGTTCCCCTCGGAGAACTGCCTTGTTTCTTGGCCTGACCTGCCTCCAGAAGTCTCCCAGAAGCCTGTGCAGGCAGGGCACAAGGGCTCCCTGGGATATGGGACATGGTGCCTGCAGAGGTAGATCCCCTCTGACTCAGCCAGCAGAGGGGCGCATGGCTGCCCTTGGCCCTGCTGCCCATCTGGTCCCCTGGAGCTGAAGGGCCACAGGACTGAATGCTGCACATCTCATGTCACTCAGGGTGTATGTCAGGCTCTGGAGACACAGGTGCTGCAGTCAGAGTCAGTCTCCAGGGGGAGCAAGGTGTATGTCTTTCCTCACTCAACCCTCAGAGTGCTGTCTGTCCTTCAGGGCTCTTGTAGTGGCACAATAAGATCAGTCAGTGACTCAGGCAAGGTACGAGTCGGGAAGTGAGTGTGCTGAGATGGATCCCGGCATCTGTGGCCAAGGCCTGCGGAATGCCTGCCTTTCTGGGCTGCATGGGCTGGCATAGAGCCAACCTGGGAGCTCTGGGTAGCAGGGCTGCTCTGTCCTCTGACGGGCCTAGAGCTGCAGCGACTGGCTAAGGCCATCTGTGACAAAGCTTCCACTCTTACCACAGTTCTCTGAGAACAGTCCTGTAGTCTCCCTGTTTCTGTAGCTCTCTGCTTTTTCTGAATACTGGGAAATAAGGTTCTGAGGTAAGGTTTTCCTGTTCTGTGAACTCGCTTGGCAGACACGTTTGGATCACACTTGTGTCAGGGACACGGGGGTCCCCTTAGCTGGACATCTGAGTCTGTGGCAGAAGAGCTAGGTCTGAGCTGAAACAAGCACAGCCTGGGGAAGAGTCATCAGCAGAGAGGCATGGTGGACACCAGGGACTGGGATGCTTCTTAGTGACAAGACTGGACTAAGTTTTAAAATGTACGAGGTGTAATAGAAAAATGGTGTGTCTTTAAATAAAAAAGCTTATTTCTATGAGACATATCACCATTAATTCCCCTCAAAATTCTCTCTCTCGCCTCATGGCTCTTCCCACTTTCTGAGGCAGTTCTGAAGGGCTCTCTCCTGGGTGGCTTGTTCTGACGTTCTGGCTGCCTTGAGGTCCTGCGTCAGTTCCTAACATCGACATTTCATGGCCATTTTGTCTTCAGGGAAGAGCCAGAAGTTGTACAGTGCAGTGAATCAGATGGACGATTGAGGACACACATGGTGGTCTTGCCAGCCTGCCCCTGGTGCTGGCACTTGGCGGCACCACTCACCGTACTTTTGATCACACCTTGTAAAGACACTCATGAAAGAGGACTTCCAGAACTGCTTCAGAAGGTAGTAAAAATGATGGGAGCAGTGTTTTCAGAGTAAGAGAGAGGACTCTGAGGGAGATCTATGGCAGTGCTATGACACATTTTTAAAGATGTAAACATGTTGATTGTCTCTTGTATGTCCTCCTTGTAAAGGGTTAATGCGCTTTTCCTCTATCCTTTGAGCTGGTGAGTCTTCCCAGTGCATTTCTCTGTATTCATGCTCAGCGCCCACCTTTGAGTAAATCTTATTTTCTTTTTCCTCTTCAGTCAGCACGGTAACCCAGGGAGACATCTGTACAAGCACACTGTGATGTGTGGAATGCTATTTACAACACGCTGGGCCAGGATCACACCCAGCCACATCACTCCTCACTCCCATCCCCTGTGTTACCTCCAGCATCATACCTGCTCATCTCCATCCCCCCCACCTCCATGACCATTATCACCACCTCTATCACCTTCCCCTACCATTACCACCTTCATCATCTCCACCACCTCCATCACCATACCACCTTCATCATCGCCCTCACCTCCGTCACTACTTCCACCACCACCTCCACCACCACCACCACC